TCAGTGTACATCCTTCGTAGGAGCTCTACCAATATAGGATTGAAACATAAAAAACAGAATCTGGTAAATTAGTTTTGCATGGAAACGGGATGGGGTGTGTCTTCACTTGCAATTCAGGTGATGGGGGTAATCTGTGGCATGATGCACAAACCCACCTTCCGGCTGAGATCGCACCCATTTCCCACACAACCTATCACCCGCAATGCTACAAGCCTTGCTTTGACTAGCTTTTTCCGTAATATTTAATTTGCCTTTACCAAGGATCCTACCCAAAGCCAATGATTGGAAATTCTAAATTTCAGATGTTACTGAAATGTTACAACAGTTACAAATCATTAAATTAATTTGTATCCTTCTAAAAGTATTAGACTAGACTATAGCCTCTAAAGATGATGTCCAGTATATGTCCCTTTTTGCCATTCTATGTTGCCTCCAGCAATATTGCAGTTTTCCTAAGAGTTCTCAGTGACATTTGAAAACGCCAGTTGAGAAACTTCTCCAATTCTGTTTGCTTCATTTATTTTAGGTTTTGCATGTTCCGAATATTTTTGTAATGTCAAGCACCCTCAAGATTTGCTTAGCATTTTCTTGTGTTCATTCATTCATTCAACTTCTGAAGAGATTGTTTATTGTTTGTTTTGCAGAAGGGGAGTCATTCCCCCCCCCAAAGGGTATAACGGTATTCATTCAGAGACTGAAGTTGGTGCTGTTGAGAGCTATATCTTCATTCAGTTTTTGTGAGATTTTGGACATGAAACCTAGGTTAATAGCCTTAGTTATTTGATACTTTTTAACCTCTTTTCTGTGCTTCTTAAGTTGTGTCTCCAGGTTTGTTTTGGTTTTTTTTTTTGTTACCATCTCTTTGAGCGTGTTTTATTGGTGGGAGTTTATAAAACAATTGGTTTGTATTGACCTCATCTATAAAGTCTAAAGTTTTACAACTAAAATGATGCAGAACTTTATAGATGAGTAAATCCTCCACTTGACTGTCAGACACATTTTACCTTGGATTGCTTATACTGTATATCTATGTTTTTTCCCCCTCAACAAAAATATTTTCTGAAAATGCATAATACGGATTAATTCAGCTTTTGTCATTCTTTTTCATCTCTTTAAATTATGGAGACAATTTTAAATCAAGAGAATGTCATGCATAAAGAATGGATATATCAAATCCCATGTATGTCTGTCTTATCCACATCTGCCTGCACACATGAATAAATACACCACAATCTTTCTCAAACACCATTCTCACAAACATTTCATTAGAGACAGTTGGAAAATAGGAACTAAAATGAGGTTATTTACAGTGTTTGTAAATTTTAAATTCAGTAGAGTAATGTCAGAACAGCAAAAATGCATAATGATTTCTGATACTGATTTTTTGCTGTTTTCTTTTTTTTTCTTTTTTTCTTTTTTTTTTTTAAATTTGATTTATATGCCGCCCTTCTCCGGAGACTCAGGGTGGCTTACAATGCACTAAGCAATAGCCTTCATACTTTTGTATATTTATACAAAGTCAGCTTATTGCCCCCACAACTGGGTCCTCAATTTACTTACCTTAGAAAGGATGGAAGGCTGAGTCAACCTTGAGCCTGGTGAGATTCGAACCTGCAGTAATTGCAGGCAACTGGTCTTAATAACAGGGTGCTTTAGACCACTGTACTACCAAGGCTCTTGCAACTCTCAACGGTTTTAAGGAGATAATAGATGTAAACCAGGGGTGTCCAACTTTGATAACTTTAAGACTTGTGGACTCCAACTCCCAGAATTCCCCAGCCACTATGGCTGGTTGAGGAATTCTGGGAGTTGGAGTCAGCAACTTTAAAGTTGCCAAGGTTGGACAACTTTGCTGTAAACTAATCATTAGTTTTAAGGAAGTGTTGGTCAACGTTAGAGGTACTAATTTTCAAAACTTTTCCAGTATGGAGAACACAGCTAGTGCCAAAGATGAACCAATCCTTTAAGTATGCAGGCTTCTTCCAAAGAAGCAAATTGTTTTCAGGTTTGTGCAACTGAAGCAACTGGTTTTTCAATAGTATCTTTTTATTTTTGTGGACAGGCTACATTATTCCAATAAATGTAGTGTCATGAAGATTATTAATAAAATGCAGAAATAAAGAGCAGTGGATTCCTTTTGTTTTAGGGGTTGTTTTGCCGTATATTTATAGGCTTGTGCAAACAGTTCAGAAGGCCATCTTGGAAAACCCTGGTTTGAATCTATGGTGGGAAGGGTTGGCGTAATGAAGAAGCTAGGATTGCTGTGTTAGAGTGAAGTGGCCATGCTGAGCCTTTGGGAGGACACTAATGCTTTGAGCAATAGGTTCAGGGGTGACAGCAACTTTTGGCTGTGTCTGTACCATTCACTTTGCAAACTGTCTCTCTGAATGACGTGGAGACTTCTAGTAGATTTGGGACTATGAGCACTTGAAAGAAGATTTACAACTGCCAAGGTACAGTTTGATTATGTTCTTGTTATCTTCTAATGAACTGCAAATTTCTTTAGAAGGTCAATTTGTTGCCTTACTGTTGATTCATGCCAATACAGCCATTGCGATTACATATAATAATTTCTGGATTCTGCTTTTGTATGTGTACATTCCCCCCCCCCCCATCTCCTGATCTTGGTTCATAATTTAACTTTAATACGCATTTCGATTGGCATTTGATCACATGTATAATTGAAGAGATGAGATTCATCTGAGGAAAGATATACTGATTCCTAGGTTATGGTTAATTTTCTTATGACTGCACTAATCCTGAATCGCAAAGGTAACAGCAAAACATATTAAATGACAACTAACAAAGAAGACGTAATGGTAGCATTGATCCTCAGGGGGGCAAAAAATCTTTGGAAAAAAGCATTACCAGTGGAAAATCCACAATGCTTCTACAATAAAAGATTTGTGAACACAGTTGTTAACTGAGCTTCTTGCTTCCAGAATCTTCCGCATTTATTTAACATTTCAGAATTAATGGTGGCTAGGAAAATAAACTCACTGGAGAAGAGCCTAATGCTGGGAAAGATTGAGGGGACGGCAGAGAACGAGGTGGCTGGATGGAGTCACTGAAGCAGTCGGCATGAGCTTAAATGGTCTCCGGGGGATGGTAGAGGACAGGAAGGCCTGGAGGAACGTTGTCCGTGGGGTCACAATGGGTCAGACATAACTTCTCGACTAACAACAAGAAAAATTAAAAAAAAAAATTTTTTTTTTACATCTAGATAACAAATGATTTTTAAATATAATCAGGTATCCCCATTCTGAGTTTTGGGGTATGATAGAGTATTGTTTCAAAGAGTTCAAATAATGCACATATTTTGTATCTTGAGAGCGACAAATAAGGCTCTTGTTTTGTTGGCTGAACAAGAAAAGGGTTTTCAAAATGCTTTAGACGTATTAATTATACATAGTCATGTTATTCTGTGGCGGCTAAAAATCAGAAGAAACGTAGTGGCACCTTTTCAGACCCCCTTGGGTGATTCTTCTCAAGGTCCACGTAAATCCCACTAATCGTACACGGTCTACCTGAATTGACTTCTAATACTTCACTATCCAGAATATTATCACCAGCCTGCAAGGTTATACAAGATATACGGGATACAGTTTCAATTGGATTGCCTTTTGGTAAGTACTGGCAGTTATGAGTGATAATGCTCCGCCTCGGAGAGAAATTAGTACAGTGTATTGAACTCCAGCTGCTTATTGTACCCAGTTGATTATTGGTCAGATCTTAGGTAGAGGTTCTCCTTCTGCTTGCTGCAAACCAAAGCTCACGAACCATTTTCTGAGAAAAATACAAAAAGATACGAAATAATGATTGATAGATTTGAGCTCATTAGTGTAAATAAGGTTTGCTGTGATACTGTTTTCAAATTGTTAGTCTTGGGTGCTGAGATTCCTGTGAAATGACAGTTCTCTTTCAGGGATGGAAGAGACCCAGTTTGGTCTAGTGGTTAAGACACCAAGCTAGAAAGCAGGAGACTCTGAGTTCAAGTCTCTCCTTAGCCATGAAAGCCAGCTGGGTGACTTTGGGCCAATCACCAGGAGACAGTGAATTCTAGTCCCGCTTTAGACATGAAAACCGGCTGGATGACTTTGGGCCAGTCACACACTTACAGGGTGGTGGTTGTGGGGAAAATAGGAGGAGGAAGCGTGTTGTGTGTTGGGTAAATTCACCTCCTTGAATTATTTATAAAAATAATGGCGGATATATTAAATAAATGAATAAATAAAGGAAATAAAGGAAAACCTTTGATACTGTTTTTTTCCCCAAATTTAATTTGAATTGCTTGCCTCCTGTTGGATTTCATCTTGTATTTTGTACACTTGTTAACAACAAACAGCAAATTGGATGTATCCTTTCATATGACATTAAAGACGAAGGGTTGAAGGTGGTGGGCTCAAAAGAAGGATATTTCAGCGAAAGTAATGGAAAACGTGCACATTCCAGCTAGTAACAAATTGATTTGGGTGATTCCCGAATTCTGGTTTTAACAGTTTGTTGAACTCTTAATACTTTACTGACATGATTTTAGTCTGACTTGCAATTTTTATTTTTATTTTTATTATTATTATTATTATTATTATTATTATTATTATTATTATTATTTTGTAAAGATTTTTTTCCTACTTTTTGCAAAGAGACTGTTTGTGTACTGCCAGGTTGACGAGGTTTTGCCTGTTTTAAGGTATATTACAAATATGCGAATTGCATCAATCCAGCAGACGTACTCACCGTTTTGAAAACATCATTTTACCTTAAAATCACATGTTCCATTTTACCGGCCTCCTTCATATAGAAAATACATTCTCTTTGATACTAGTATTTTAAAAAAAAAAAGAAAGAAAGAAAACGAAGCAAACTCTTCAGTATTTTCTATGTGGAAGGAAGTTTTCTGTACATTTCTCCCATGTCTTTTACATCATGGTAGTTTGAATAACCATGCTTCCATATTCACATCAACTTTTTTTGTTTTTGTTTTTCCAATTTATACACAGCACTTGCTCTGAAATTTGGGGACTGAGTACACCAAATACGATAGATCAGTGGGATACCACAGGCCTATACAGCTTCTCTGAACAAACCAGGTGAATATTCTGCCCTGTGTCTCGTTGTAGAGATCTTGCGGGTGGGTTCGGCTTTTCAGGGGTCTTTACCAGTTGCAGTGCTTCCTAGCAACAGAGCCTTTTAAACACGGATGTTGTGTTCTCAGTTGATGTTTTAACCAACAAAAGTTCTCTTCCTATTAGTGCTGTGGGAAGACTTGGGAGGGGAGGGGGGCGTGTGACTTCATAATCTGTTCTTCAGTTAAAAACATGGGGGCATTTTACCTCATACCAGGTTACTAAGTGTGTCTTTAAAAATGCTTGCACACTATGTATTTGTATATATGTTTTTTTGTTTTGTTAAGAATCAGGTATGTGCACTCAGAGACAAGAAAACAACTTGTCTGGCTTTTGATGGTTCCTTTTTTTTTTTCCTTCCCATGTCACCCTATTTGCATTGTGTGCTGAGATTTTTGTCTTTCCCATCCCATGAGTCATAAATTCATCTGCATTTGTGTAGGCCTAGGCAGTCTTTATCTTAAAACTAGCAAAACTTTTCAACTGGTAGCAGCAAGGGATGCAGAAATCACAGACAAGCACGCTGTGTCGTCTGATGGAAGCTGCGTGTTCTATGCCAGTGTTTCTTAATCTGAGCCACTTTAAGACCTGTGGACTTCAACTCCCAGAATTCCCCAGCTAGCCCTGCCGGAAGTCCAAAGGCCTTAAAAGCAGCTCAGGTTGAGAAATACTGTTTCATGCAATGTGAATTCCTTTGGTATCCGACTGCTATAATTTTATGCGCAGTCTTGTACAACCTATATTCTTAGCAGCAATAATTGTCTGTTTTAGCCTAGTGTTAAGTGTTGCTGATGAGCAGACTTATTTATTGTTCCGTCAGTATGACACACACACAGATTCTTTCATTCAAGGGCCAGTAATAGCAGTGTGTGCACTAACCATGACACTACCTCTCCTATTGCAAAGAATATTGCAATGTCGAAAGATATTGAAAAATGTCTGTGGCAGCTCTTTTGCATTGTTCTTTTTCGGGTAGGACGGAAGGGTGCTCTAAGCGCCATAGTTCTGAGTAGGTCGTCTGAAATATGCTGCAAGTCAACAACTCAGAACATTCTGGAATATTTTTCCCCCCTCTCTGTAGGTCTCTTGATGGCCGCCTCCAAGTGTCCCATCGTAAAGGATTGCCGCATGTCATTTACTGTCGCTTGTGGCGCTGGCCTGACCTTCACAGCCACCATGAACTTAAGGCCATTGAAAACTGTGAATATGCTTTTAATCTTAAAAAGGATGAAGTGTGTGTAAATCCTTACCATTACCAGAGAGTGGAGACTCCAGGTACGAAGATGGCAAGCACGGCTGACGTAAAGGGGTTGGCTAATGCAGGCTTCCCTTACTAAACCTCCGACATAACGTTCAGTGTGTACAAAGTTGAATCAAAAGGAACGTCTACGTTATTTCCAAGGGTTTGAGCGGGAGTTACTCCAACTTTTAATTTTTCACAGTGGCACGTAAATATTGAGAAAAGCATTGTTTGTTGTATTGAATGCATGTGTTTGGCACTTCCTGGCATAACTTGGAGCTGCAAAGAGTTGCAAGCGTTCGCCTCAATTAAAATGACAGAACTCCTCAATTATCTTTCTTTTCTGCTTTGTTGTAGAGACTCAAGTGGCTCGAAGAATTTTTAATATAGAGACATCTGAACGATACGTTTGTTCACCTTTCTTTGGTAGTTCCAGGGAAAGGATTCCATCACAATTTGGAGCAGCCACTTAAGAATGCTTAATTGCTTGTTTTCCCCCAATCCTCTGTAATTTCTAAAAGAAAGTTTGTTCAGATGGATTAAAAAAGGGTTTCTGAGGGCAGGTTATTGCTTAATTGTTAACATGTCATAGGTGCAAGGAACTGAGACTGATAGAAATGGTACCACACAGGAGCCTGAGTGGCGTAGGAGGCTAATGCCTCCTACTAAGGCAGCATTTAACATCCAGTTGCCTGCAATTACTGCAAGTTCAATTCTCACCAGGCTCAAGGTCGACTCAGCCTTCCATCCTTTCTAAGGTGGGTAAAATGAGGACCCGGTTTGTGGGGGCAATAAGCTGACTTTGTATAAAATATACAAAAGTATGAAGGCTATTGCTTAACGCATTGTAAGCCGCCCTGAGTCTCCGGAGAAGGGCGGCATATAAAAATAAATAAATAAATAAATAAATTTTAGTCTCACATCTACCACATGAGCTGAGAGTCTATGGAGATTCTCAGCCATCCAGGACCATGGTTGTCCCAAAGGTGCTTTTTCAAAAGGCAGCTGGACTTTGAACTTATTTCACCTTATTTTCCAAAGTACCTGAAGGCAAATCAAGAAACATGGATAGAAACTAATCAAGGAGAGAAGCAACCTGCAATTTAGAATAGAATAGAATAGAATAGAATAGAATAGAATAGAATAATAATAATAATAATAATAATAATAATAATAATAATAATAATAATAGAATAGAATTCTTTATTGGTCAAGTGTGATTGAACACAAGGAATTTGTCTTTGGTGCATATGCTCTCAGTGTAAATAAAAAGACAAGATACATTTATCAAGAATCATAAGGAGAATCTTCCTAACAGTGAGAACAATTAACCAGTGGAACAACTTGCCTTCAGAAGTTGTGGGTGCCTCATCACGGGGTTTTTTAAGAAAAGACTGGTTAGCCACCTATCTTAAATGTAAGAATAGGGTCTCCTGTTTGAGCAGGGGGTTGGACTAGAAGACAGTCCCTTCCAGCTCTATTCTGATTGGTTGATTATTTTTCCTTGAAGATGTGTCACTTCTCATTCAAGAAGCTTGAACTGGAGAAGCTTCTTAGACCGAACTGAAGAACTTCAGTTCCCAGAACTGAAGAAGCTTCTTGGATGAGAAGCAAAACATCTTCAAGGAAAAACAAAGGCCAGTTGCCTTTTGAAAAAAGCACCTTTGAGATATATGAGCCGAGAAATGCTACAAAGTGACTTTAGTGAATTCTGTATCTGGATCCCTCTCCTTTACATTTCATATCTACTGTTAAAGGGTTAAACAAGAATCAGCGAGATCCCGTTTGGATCTCAGTCTTAAAGATAACTTCATTCTCTTGGTCCAGTCATCGCTTTCCATTCCTTAGACTTCCACCCTTTCCTCCTGGAGTGATTCTGGAGAAAATAAGACAAATTTCTGCTTGTCAGAAGAACGTGTGAAATAAAGAAGATAACCTTTTCAGTAAATATGCCTAGGAGACTCTGGCTAAGTCTTCAGACAGCAGTACTCATATCCACCATGAATATTTGCATGTAACATATATTAAGTCTCCTCCTCCCCAAGTGTTGATTCTTAAATTAGCATTTTATGCTAATTGGTGTGATTTTCTCCATGTTTACCTTTGGGTTTAATCTCAAATAAGCATAAAAATGAACGGTCAGTGCTTTGAATTAAAACCTTGTCATACAACTTTAGAGTCTGCAATACGTTTTATAGAGGAGTATGTGTATTGTTGTGTATTTAAACATGGTTAAACTGTGCTAAACTTTTTGGGTTGTTTCCCCTCTTCCCAGTTCTGCCTCCTGTTTTGGTACCACGGCACACTGAGATTCTGACTGAACTTCCTCCTCTTGATGACTACACTCATTCCATTCCTGAAAACACTAATTTTCCAGCAGGAATTGAACCACAAAGCAATTACATACCAGGTATTCCTGTAAATGCAAACAGAACTAAACTGAAATCCATTGTATAATGTGCCAAAAGAAAATAACAGCATGGGAAGCATGATGCTTGCTAGGATTGGTATTTCTTTGTAATTGTTGGAGCGCTCTGGGTCCAACTAAAAGTTTTTCAGCCATCATCAGAATCTTTGCCAGTGTACTTTTTCATAAAGAAAAGAAGAAAGATGATCTTTGACAGCATCTTTAAGAGCCGTGGTGGCGCAGTGGTTAGAAGGCAGTACTGCAGGCTACTTCTGCTAACTGCTGGCTGTCTGCAATTTAGCAGGTCGAATCTCACCAGGCTCAAGGTTGATTTAGCCTCCCATCTTTCTGAGGTTGGTAAAATGAGGACCCAGATGGTTGGAGGCAATATGCCGACTCTGTAAACCGCTTAGAGAGGGGCTTTTAAACCACTGTGAAGCAATATATATGTCTTACATGCTATTGCGAGTAGAAACTTCCAAAGGGTTACAAGCTCTGCATTGGTCAGGACTTTCCTGATTTAATGAGGATGAGTAAAAAAGCTCTATGCACTTACATGCGTGTCTAAGAACAGTTTGGGACCACAATGTCCAGAGCTTCCCCTTTTTTTCTATTCCCATTCTGAGAAAGACCACCATCCCACATCTCTCCCAAAAAAATCAGACTCACTCCACAGTCTTAAAACTAATGTCTGAACATGTCTACGCTGGTTTAAAGATTGCAACCTATGGCTTATAGAATCGGGGAAGGGAGAAAGAAGGGATGTGCAAGTGACTGTCTAATTTTTTTTCCTCTGAACCTGACATTGATAGTTTCTTTGCTGCCTAATAGTGGCAATGCGATTTCTGGCCAGAGGTATGTTTAGATAGGCTCAAGGGCTGTAGTTTGATTCCTAAATATTTTGTCTATTCTTTGTTTATTGATAAAACATCTAGTGTCGATGGTATTGAGCAAAGGTTTTATTTTAAAGGGTTCTCAGTTATATTTTGCTCTTGGTAGAAACACCACCCCCTGGCTATATCAGTGAAGATGGGGAAACAAGTGACCAGCAGTTGAACCAAAGCATGGATACAGGTAAAGATTTTGGGTTTTACTGATTAGATAGATATGGCGTAACAGCAAATGGCTAGTTTAAATTACAAGCAAAGTCAATGGGAAGCCAGATGCACTTAACAGTTGTGTTACTAACATATTAACTGCAGTGATTCACTTAACAGCGGTGGCAAGAAAGGTTGTAAAATGGGGTAAAATTCACCTAAATTTTGGGTGCTCAATTGCAGTCATAGGTGAAAGACTACCTGCACATTTCATATTTCTTGGATTATTAGATACTAAAAGGGCGATGGGTTAGTAAATGCTCTTTTCAGTAGGTTAATATATATCATCTATCCTGATTTCTTAACCTTAATTTTTGTTATGTTATTGCTAATACAAATAAGATAAATTCTAAGCTAGTTACTAGAACTAATGCTAAGGTTCTGTCATGGCAATCATAGTTCCTCCCATCCTTTGTCCAAACATTTTCCAATCTTTTCAACATTTCATTGAGTTGAGGAAAGAATAAAAGTGATTCCAGGTTCTTTTGACTACCGTGTCCAAAGGTAATGATAACTTGTGAAAAAAATGGCATCTGGATCTCTGTCTAAATGATTTGTGTGGTGTGTTTGTATGTTGTGCACACAGGCAAGAGGAGAAAAAACAAAATAATGTCCTTGATTGTTTTCCCAGGATCGCCGGCAGAGCTGTCTCCTAGTACACTCTCTCCTGTCAATCACAGCCTAGGTAAGCAGGGAATGCTTTCAGTAACTGAATTGGATAAATGTCTTTGCTTTAAGAAATAGGAAGAGTACTCTATTTAGAATAGAATAGAGAATAGAGAATAGAGAATAGAGAATAGAATAGAATAGAATAGAATAGAATAGAATAGAATAGAATAGAATAGAATAGAATTCTTTATTGGCCAAGTATGATTGGACACACAAGGAATTTGTCTTTGGTGCATAGGCTCTCAGTGTACATAAAAAGACAAGATACATTCGTCAAGAATCATAAGGTACAACACTTAATGATAGTATAGGATACAAATAAGCAATCAAATCATACTAGGAAACAATATAAATCATAAGGATACAGCAACAAGTTACAGTCATACAGTTATAAGTGGGAGGAGATGGGTGATAGGAACGGTGAGAAGATTAATAGTAATGCAGACTTAGTGAATAGTTTGACTGTGTTGAGGGAATTATTTGTTTAGCAGAGTGATGGCGTTTGGGAAAAAACTGTTCTTGTGTCTAGTTGTTCTATTGTGCAGTGCTCTATAGCATCGTTTTGAGGGTAGGAGTTGAAAGAATTTATATCCAGGATGCGAGGGGGTCTGTAAGCATTTTCACAGCCCTCTTTTTGACTCATGCAGTATACAGATCCTCCATGGAAGGCAGGTTGGTAGCAAGTGTTTTTTCTGCAATTCTAATTATCCTCTGAAGTCTGTGTCTGTCTTGTTGGGTTGCAGAACCAAATCAGACAGTTATGGAGGTGCAGATGACAGACTCAATAATTCCTCTGTAGAACTGGATCAGCAGCTCTTTGGGCAGTTTGAGCTTCCTGAGTTGGTGCAGAAAGAACATTCTGTGTTGTGCTTTTTTGATGATGTTTTTGATGTTAGGTGTCCACTTTAGGTCTTGAGTTATGGTAAAACCTAGAAATTTGAAGGTCTCTACTGTTGCACGCTATACTATGGGGGACGCATATCGGTTTCCTTCCAGATGGGAGACTCCAACTCCCAACAGTAAAACTAGCCAGTCCTTAATTTATGTCCATAATCGAGCCTGGAATTATGGTCATAAGTCGTTGCATTCATACCTTGAGGCATTGGGTCCAGATTCAATTTTTTGACAATTTTTTCAATGGCTGTTAAGCAAATTCATTGCGTGGGTTTTTTTTTTTTTTTTGGCCAACAATTGGAATGAAATGCCATGATAAATGATAAAAAAACAAGGCCAATTGTGGTCACATGATTGTATGTGGGATGCTGCAAATGGCCGTAAAGGCAAGCTTGTTGCCAAGCACCCAAAATACGTTCACATGACCACAAGGGGAGGGTTACGGCAGTCATAACTTTGAAAATGAGTCATTAGGTGTTGGGGATGTCTATCGTAACTTCATACAGCCGCTAAGTCATAAATTGAGGACTACCTCTACTTTGTTGGGATATTACTAGCATACTGTATGTTTAATGACAATTGTATCAATTTATGGGTGCCTCAATTCTATCAATTTATAGGTGCCCATACAATTCATTAAAAATCAAATGTTGAGTCTTTTAACTAGCTCCAGTAACTTGTTTTAATATTTTTATGGACTGTGTTTTTGGAAATGAGCTTCTGAAAACGTGAATCCTTTACTGTGTTTGTGGGCACATTAAATCAAGATGGTTTAATCTAGGACCACATTATCATGGAAAATGTGGTGCCAAAGAGTGGAACAGAAAGGGGAATAAAGATATGAAATTGTTAGTGAAAATAAAGTTTCAGGCAGAGTATAACTTCAACTCAGTTTTCCCCTGCAAATAAAAAGAAGAGACGGCGTGAGCATTCCCTAAAATTAAGACGTTCAGATTGTTTTGTTGCGTGAGGTGAGTTAGAGCAAACATAGCCTTTTTAATAAAATGTATTATATTTTTATTTTACCTGTTTAAACAGCAATCAGTTAATTTTTGGAGTAAGCGAAGGAAGTGTCCCCTCAACCACTGTCCCGCCAGAGCTTTGATTATGGTTTCACTGAAAAGATGGACATTCCTGCTCTGTTTCAATAATGGTAGCCGTGACTTATCAGATCCTTGCCAAATACTGAGAAGTAGAGGGCATATAAAGAAAGATTTTTAAGAATGGATTTCTTTCTTTCTCCCTGCCAGACTTGCAGCCAGTTACCTACTCGGAGCCGGCCTTTTGGTGTTCAATAGCATATTATGAACTAAACCAGAGAGTGGGTGAAACTTTCCACGCATCGCAACCTTCGCTTACCGTAGATGGCTTCACGGACCCATCCAACTCCGAACGATTCTGCCTAGGTTTGCTCTCCAACGTCAACAGAAACGCCACGGTGGAAATGACAAGACGGCACATAGGTAGGGGTGGGTGGGTGTCTGATCCCCTGATGAATTACCAGTCTTCTGCCCTTCATAGTTCAGTTCAATTCTTCCTTCCTTCCTTTCTTTCTTTCTTTCTTTCTTTCTTTCTTTCTTTCTTTCTTTCTTTCTTTCTTTTTCTCTCTCTCTCTCTCTCTCTCTCTCTCTCTTTCTCTTTCTTTCTCTCTCTCTTTTTCTTTCTTTCTTTCTTTCTTTCTTTCTTTCTTTCTTTCTTTCTTTCTTTCTTTCTTCTTTCTTTCTCTTTTCTTCCCTCCCTCCCTCCTTCCTCTCCCCTCCCCTCCCCTCCCCTCCTCTCCCCTCCCCCCTCCTCTCCCCCTTATATAAAAACATTTCCCTTATTATAAACAAGCAATACAAGAAGAAGTAAACTCAGTTCTTTCGTTTAGTTTCATAACTATGGCATGCTAAACTATAAAAGAATAGCAATCCAGGTAATTTTCAAAATGATAGAAGGGGACCTGAGCAGTTTAGATGTTAACCTTCAGCATTTCTCTTTCCTCTGTTCCTTGTTCCCCCACCCAGGAAGGGGAGTTCGTCTGTATTATATCGGTGGGGAAGTTTTTGCTGAGTGCTTAAGTGATAGCGCAATCTTCGTGCAGAGTCCCAACTGTAACCAGAGATATGGCTGGCATCCGGCCACTGTGTGCAAAATCCCACCAGGTAAGATATGTAAAACCAAACTGCCCCCCCTCAAATATATTCAGTATATTAAAATACATGTCCAGAACTGTAAGGCAGATTTCTTCCAAGTGATGTCTTTAGACCTTCTGAATGTCAAATCCTTATTTTCTAACCAGGAGAAACTGTGCCTGGGAATATTGAGAGATTGAATTCCAGCATCTCCAAAAGCTGTTCCATTTTTTTAAAAAAAATTGCTGCTGAATCTTTAAAGGGATGAGTTATGTAATATTAACCTGGAGAGGATACTGGTAACTTACAGATAAAGATTAACAGAGTTGGAAGGGACCTTGTAAGTCATCTAGTCCAACCCCCTGCCCAAGCAGGAGACTCTACACCATTTCTGACAGATGGCAGTTCAGCCTCTTCTTGAAAGCCTCCAGTGATGAAGCTCCCACAACTTCCGAAGGCAACTTCTGTTCCATGGGTTGATTGTTCTCACTGTCAGAAAATTTCTCCTTATTTCTAGATTGAATCTCTCCTTGGTCAGTTTCCATCCATTGTTTCTTGTCTGGCCTTCAGGTGCTTTGGAAAATAGCTTGACCCCCTCTTCTCTGTGGCAGCCCCTGAGATATTGGAAGACTGCTATCATGTCTCCCCTGGTCCTTCCCTTCACTAGACTAGCCATGCCCAGTTCCTGCAACCTTTCATCATATGTTTTAGTCTCCAGTCCCCTAATCATCCTGGTTGCTCTTCTCTGTACTCTTTCTAGGGTCTCAACATCTTTTTTATAGTGTGGTGACCAAAACTGGATGCAGTACGCTAGATGTGGTCTTACTAAGGCCTGGCAATAGTAATAACCTCCAGCTGTCTTTCCCTTTCATATAGGTTGCAACCTGAAGATCTTCAACAACCAGGAATTTGCTGCTCTTCTGGCTCAGTCTGTGAATCAGGGCTTCGAAGCCGTGTATCAGCTCACCCGCATGTGCACCATCAGGATGAGTTTTGTTAAAGGATGGGGAGCTGAATACAGGTACTTGGTGGAGCTTTGAAGAATTCCCTTGTGGCAGGGTGGAATTCCCAAGCCTACATTCAGGTGCAGTCCTAGCCTTCGCACAGAATCCACCTGGACTAGCCCTCATGCTTGGCAGTCTTTTTGCATGCAAATAGTGGTGCTTTAGGTCAGGGGTCTCCAACCTTGGCAACTTTAAGACTTGTGGACTTCAGCTCCCAGGTTTGCTGGCTGAGGAACTCTGGGAGTTGAAGTCCACAAGTCTTAAAGTTGCCAAAGTTGGAGACCCCTGCTTTAGGTCACCTCAGGGTCTTTTGTGAGAAACCCAAGCTCTTTTCTCCCCGGACAGTTAAAAAAATTCCAGTGAGAGGGCTGACAAATGGCAGAGAAATTTAAACTCTGTACAAAGAGAGAATATTCTCACTTAATAACCTCAGCAATCCTTGGGCCCATGTAGACAACTTTTTTTGGGAGACAAAGTCCATTCGGCTTCAATTTGCACCTAGGCGAGGGAGGGGTTTGAAAGTTGATGTCGAAAGGCATATCTAGCCTGTGAAATGTCTTGTGGTTTCTCTGCCCCCCCTTTCCCCCCCAAAATTCCTTCCCATTGGTACTTTAAGCTTTACAGTTCCCTGTGGATGTTGTACAGCGTGAAGCAGTGATCAAGTTTTGTAAATGAGTTTTCTTTTACTTATTTATTTTATACCCCACCTTTATTATTTTGATAAAAACAACTCAAGGTGGCCAATATATCTGTTGCTCCTTCCTTCTATTTTTCCCCTCAGTAACCACCCTGACAGGTAAGTTGGACTGAGAGAGAGAGTGACTGGCCTAGCTGACTTTCATAGCTAAAGCAGAACTGGAACTCACAGTCTCCTGGTCTCTTTAACTGGAGCCTTAAGCCAAAGTAGGCCAAACAGACTGTCTCTAGTTCTATAGAGTTTACTAAAGAGAGGTTCCATATGTGCTTGACATCTTTTAACCTTTAGTTTTAATCTTTAGTTCTCTAAAGTGCCAACTTTGATTAAATTCTTCTTGTGTCATCGTGTTGCAAACCAGTTGTTAATTTAATGATTTGTTAAACAAATGTATACAGCCGCCCAGATCACACACAATTTTTTTTACGAATTCGTCATATAATAAAAATCCATAAAAACCCCACCCCACCACTCTTATTAAACATTTGATTATAACTTTCCAAATCCTATTCTACCTCTTTATTAAGCACTTAATCTACATGTCATCAGGGCTTTTCTGATCTATCACATGCATTATGTTATTCCGAAGAAAGGGAAAATTTAATATGAACAGTGGCGCAAACTTTAAAGATGAAAGTGCCCAAAGTAAGTAGGACTTGCAATTTGTTTTAGAAAAGAGATAGTTGCTTTTTTGTACCCAGATAATAAAATTGCAACTTGTGCAGTAGGACAGATACCTTCAAGGCCGGGCTGATAGGCAGAAGAAAAGCTGCACGTGAGGGAGTTGTTGTCTCTTAGCAAGGTTGTGTGTGTGTGTGTGTGTGTGTGTGTGTGTGTGGAAATAGGTTAAGTAAGAAATGGGTAGTTGCCATGAGAAAGGAGAAAGGGAGAAGCAAGCTCAAAAGCAAATGTACAGGTAACTGGAAGGACAAGAAAAAGCCATTTTGACGACACAAGAAGAATTAAATTTGCCCTTTTGCCTTCTCAATAAGTATCAGATTTGTAATTCCCTAAGTCATTGTGGGTAATTACAAATTGGGGAAAAAAAACACTGGCTTGATAAATTAGACAGTCACAAAGTACCGTGTTTCCCCAAAAATAATACCCTGTCTTATATTTTTTTTTAACCCCAAAATAAGTGCTTGGCCTTATTTTCGGGGAGGTCTTATTATTTAGGGGTGCGTGGAGCAAGATGGGGCTCCGCTTGCCGTCTTACCTGATTTCCAGCTCTGCGTTTAAATACTTTGGGGGAGGGCTTATTTTTGGGAAGGGTTATTTTAGTGCATGTGTCCAAAGCCCGATTGGGCTTATTATCGGGATGTCTTATTTTCAGGGAAACAGGGTAATTATTTCCCCTTATAAAATTGGTCTTCGCCGAGACTTAGGTGAAGATAGAAGCTCCCTTCTCACGTTTGACTCCTGGTGATATCTCCCTATAGTTTCCTTGCTGGATATAGGGGAAAAGTTGGCTATTTCCTCTTGAAAGATGTGTTTTTAAACTTATGCTCTACTCATCAGCCTGGTGTTCCTGGTAGTTTCCCACCCAAATGCTAACCAGATATCTCCCTGCTTAACAAACAGATAAACCCTGTTGCCTTTTCGTGTCCTCTGTGATGGCTAGTGATTACCAACCAAGAGGCCACAAAGAGGTGGAAATTAGGTACCAGCAGTGCTGATACACGGGTGGGGTAGGGTTGATGGAGAAGGGGTCTAGGTTATTCTTCAAGTGCTGGCCTGTAATTAAACTGTGTATGGGCAGGCCTTGACTTATGACTACAACCGAGTCCAAAATTTATGTTGCTAAGTAAGTTAGCAACCAAAATTACTCCCATGTCAAATCTTACTTAAAAGAGAATCGTTAAGTGAGTTTTGCCCCATTTTTACAAACTTTCTTGGCCACAATTGTTAAGTGAATCGTTTGCAGTTGTTAAGCTAACAACCCGGTTGTTAAGTGCGTCTGGCTTCCCCATGGATTTTGCCAGAAAGTCGCAAAAGGGACACTGCGATCATCATAAATATGAACCAGTTCTTAAGCACCGGAGTTTTGCATCTGAATTTTGATCACATCAGAGGTGGGATTCACTTACCTTCCCGACCGGTTCGCAAATGTGAGTGCGCGCGTGCTCACTTCACTCGCGCCACCTCCACGTATGCGCACGGCCTTCTGCGCATGTGCAGTAGTCGCACACTACGTCCAGGCGGGTGGGCGCAGCCTCCTGCAGTCACCGCTACCGGTTCGTGTGATTCGGAGAGAACCGACTGAATCCCACCACTGGATCACCTGACCACAGAGATACATACGGCAACAGTCGCAAGTGTGAAAACACAATTGTAACTCAATTTTTTTCCAGTGCCATTGTAATTTTCTACGGTCTCGAAACAGTCAGTTGTAAGTCAAGGTCTACCAGGCATTTTATTCGGCTGGTGTGCTGTTTTCGCAAATGCCACAAAGGCTTTTTATTCATTCATTCATTCATTCATTCCTTCTCTGACCCCTCTTCCCCCCCCCCTTTTGCCTTTCAGGCGTCAAACGGTAACAAGCACTCCGTGTTGGATCGAGCTGCACCTGAACGGGCCTCTACAGTGGCTGGATAAAGTATTGACTCAGATGGGGTCTCCCTCAGTGCGTTGCTCTAGCATGTCGTAATCTCGGAGGGCTGAGAAGTCCTGGCAACGGCTCGTTCTGTCACAGTCAACGCGTGCGTGGTCTCCATGAACTGTTTTCCTATCCAAAAAAAAAAAGTTCTGAGAGAAAGAAAGAGAGAGAGAGAGAGAGAGAAAGCACTTGAGAATCTCATCAGTTTTCAAGCACCTTGTGGATTTTGTTTCTTATACTCTGATACTAGGTGAAACGTTAGTGTATAGAAACACCTTCTCCTGAAGGAGGGAGGGACATTTAAAGACTTTTAACGGTGTTTTTTTTTAAAAAATTTTATTGGGTATATATAAATTGAGTGTCCTACAGGTTTACTAATAACATGGGCAAGTACAGTTTTAGCAATAAGTCGGGAAGCGTCTCCAAAGCGTGGCACCATGTTTGCAGTCCTAGTTAACAGTTGTCCGCTGGTAGATGTACGGAGCTCCGGCTTAAGCAGACATCTCATAAAAAGCCTATTAAATACTTGGTTCTCCATATCTTTTTATATTTTTCTATCCATATCGGCATGCCTGCAGGCTTTTTTACACTGCCCTCGAAGACGTTCTTGTTACAGAAAGCTTCCAGCTCCATTCTCTTCAACTGCTGACGAGAGAGAGAGAGAGAGAGATATTAAACGTTGGGTTTTATCACCTGAAAACTTGATGGACCCAAAAACGATGCAAATAAATTTCTTAACCTTCCTCACTCCTCAAAACGATCAAATCCCAATTTGAATTGGGACACGCCCTGTCCATTCAGCAAATGCATTTCTTGCTGGCAGTCACTGCTGCCGTCCTTCAGATTCGCTTTGTATCATTTATGCACTAATGGAGTAGTGTAATTGTAGGTCAATTTGGTTTTTATAACTAATGAAACAATCAAATTTTCTCCTAACCGGTGAATCAGTCAACTTTTCTCCCTCGCCCCTTGCTGCCTCCAAGACCTGAATGTTTCTATAATCCATGATTGGTAGGTTTTGCTTCCGGTTTCAAAATCTACTTAAGAAAGACAGCAGGATATTCTTCGTCGCGGAGAACGAGATTGTCAGGTACGGCTTAATTGATCCTTCCTTCCCTATCAGGAAGAGGGCTTGTGTTCTCTTCCTTAAACTTTCTCCATCAGCCCTCTGTCTAATACACCATCGGATGTTAACAGTGGTCCTGCAAAGCCTGCCTACTTCCCTGGAAATAGTATTTTTATGACGTGTTTGCTTGCTGGGCTTCTAAATCAAATCGACGAAGGGGAAGGCCAAACAGGTGACTGCTTCCTTCCGTTATTCCCCCCCCCCCCCCCCTCCAAAATCTTCCTTCTGCTACATCTGGAGTCCGAGGGGAAGGAAGGGGCGTGAGGAGGGAGAAGTGAGGCCACCGCGTCTCCCGTTTTATTGGAGAGGAGATTATCTGCTTCACTATTTCCTTCTTGCAGATGGCGGAACAGGGTTTTTTCCTGGGTGGGTTGTACAAAGGGGCATTTCACCAAAGGTTGTTATTTTGTGTGTGTGTGAACGATAAGAATTGAGCCACCAGCGTCCATGATAGGATCTTCTTGGCAGAAGCGGCAGCAGCTTCTGTGGGTTGCTTATTGCTTGACCAAAGGAACAACCTTCCGAGTACATGTTAGGGTGAACCTTAGGACACTCCTACATCTGGACCTTGCTTTAAAAAATAAAATAAAATAAACATATTTTGAATTATATTCTACAGATACGTCTGGGTTGGGTAAGGGTTGGGAAAAACTGTACAGAAGGGTTCTGACTTGAAAAGTATACATCTTACTAACCATCTTGTGATCTAGCTGTCTGTCCTCTTCGTCGTGGCAGTAGCGGGATTGCTTTTCGTCTTGTTTCTTTCCTTTCCACACCCCCTGCCCCCCCCCCAAGTTACTTTGCACTAGCCTTGTACTTCGTAAGTACACCTAGTGGCAATTCTAACTTCGACAACTAATGTTTGGCCAGTGTTAAGCTTTGTAATCGGCTGCCTGAACCCGAAAGGCAACGAGGGGATATTATTATTATTATTTTTTATGCCGTAACAAAATAGGGCATAAGAGCAATACCAAAAAAAAAAATTTTTTTTTTAAAAAAGAAATAACTCCGGTGGGAGGGAGGGTGGGTGGAAATCAAGTGTGGGCCGGGCAATTCAGAAGAAGAATTGGGCAAAGAGTTACCAATTTGTGTAGTTTTACCAGTAGCCTCATGTATTGGTAGAACTTGTAAAACCTAAAAGAGGGATGCTTTCATCTGTGTTGCATTTGCCTAATATGTGAATACACTAATAAAAGTTTTAATTCTCACTTTGGTTCGTGTGGTGCTTTGGTGGGAAGACTCTGGTCAGGGGTGTCAAACTCGAGGCCCGCGGGATGCATCTGGCCCATGGAGTGCTTAGATCTGGCCCGTGGGGCCGCCGTTGAAAACGGAAGGACCCGTTCCGCGGTACCTCTGCCAGCGAAAACGGACCTCGGGGGGGGGCTGCGTGCGGCCCTCCCGAGCTCTGTTTTTGGCTGCGACGGGCTCCTGCAGCCCTCTGCCAGCAAAAATGGAGCTTGGCCTTCCCAGCCTTCATTTTCACTGGCAGAGGGCTGCAGGAGGCCGTCGCAACCGAAAATGGAGCCCGGGAAGACCCCACGCAGGCTGCAGGATGTTGAGCTGGCCACACCCCCGAGCTGGTCAGCCCCCCCGAGGTCAAACACAACCCTTCGAGTTTGACACCCCTGACTGTTGGAAAGCTCGGCATAAACGAGGGTCCTAAATATCAAATGCAAGCTTAACAGTTCTTAGGTGTGAAGATGTTGGTGCCAGATCGGAAGAGAACTCCCATGATAGCATATCTGGATATGATATGATATAGCTGTAACTTGAGCCAAGGCAGGCAGAGCTCAAGATTGTCTCATCATGCGAGCCCAGAATGTCTGAAGTGTCAACTTCGTCTCTCAGGCTAACAATCTGAATTCTGGTGCCCCAGCATGGAGTGATGGTGGCCCTCTGGGAGCCTTGGAGAAGGGACATCAGAAGGGCTTGAGCAGGGGAGGGCTGTCAGTCAATAAAATCACCAGTGAGAGGCTGTTCATACAGTGAGCAAGGTAGGTTTCTGATGTGATTTTGAATGAATGTGTGTATGAGCGAGAACCAAAATGGAATCCACCTTCAGCCATATAAATTTAGGAACTTCAATCCGCCCAATGGATATCACAAGCTAATGGCCAGGAAAAAAATGGCAGATGGAAATGCTGTGGTCTGCCTTAACAATCTCGGTGCAAAGAAATAGAATTAGATGTTTATTATTAGAATTTTTAAAACACCTTCCTCCTATTTTCCCCACAACAACATTCCTGTGTGGTGGGTTGGGCTTAGAGAGGGCCGCCCCAAAGTGACCTAGCCAGTTTTCCATGCCTAAATCAGGACTAGAATTCACGTCTCCTGGTGATTGGCCCAAATTCACCCAGCCACTCGTGCCTAAAGTGGGACTAGGACTTACTGTCTCCTGGTGATTGGTCCAAAGTCACCCAGCCACTCGTGCCTAAGGTGGGACTAGGACTTACTGTCTCCTGGTGATTGGTCCAAAGTCACCCAGCCACTCGTGCCTAAAGTGGGACTAGGACTTACTGTCTCCTGGTGATTGGCCCAAAGTCACCCAACCACTCGTGCCTAAGGTGGGACTAGGACTTACTGTCTCCTGGTGATTGGTCCAAAGTCACCCAGCCACTTGTGCCTAAGGTGGGACTAAAACTGTCTCCTGGTGATTGGTCCAAAGTCACCCAACCACTCATGCCTAAGGTGGGACTAGGACTTACTGTTTCCTGGTGATTGGTCCAAAGTCACCCAGCCACTTGTGCCTAAAGTGGGACTAAAACTGTCTCCTGGTGATTGGCCCAAAGTCACCCAGCCACTCATGCCTAAGGTGGGACTAAAACTGTCTCCTGGTGATTGGTCCAAAGTCACCCAGCCACTCGTGCCTAAGGTGGGACTAGGACTTACTGTCTCCTGGTGATTGGTCCAAAGTCACCCAGCCACTCGTGCCTAAGGTGGGACTAGGACTTACTGTCTCCTGGTGATTGGCCCAAAGTCACCCAACCACTCGTGCCTAAGGTGGGACTAGGACTTACTGTCTCCTGGTGATTGGTCCAAAGTCACCCAGCCACTTGTGCCTAAGGTGGGACTAAAACTGTCTCCTGGTGATTGGTCCAAAGTCACCCAACCACTCATGCCTAAGGTGGGACTAGGACTTACTGTTTCCTGGTGATTGGTCCAAAGTCACCCAGCCACTTGTGCCTAAAGTGGGACTAAAACTGTCTCCTGGTGATTGGTCCAAAGTCACCCAGCCACTCATGCCTAAGGTGGGACTAAAACTGTCTCCTGGTGATTGGTCCAAAGTCACCCAGCCACTCGTGCCTAAGGTGGGACTAAAACTGTCTCCTGGTGATTGGTCCAAAGTCACCCAGCCACTCGTGCCTAAGGTGGGACTAGGACTTACTGTTTCCTGGTGATTGGTTCAAAGTCACCCAGCCACTTGTGCCTAAGGTGGGACTAAAACTGTCTCCTGGTGATTGGTCCAAAGTCACCCAGCCACTCATGCCTAAGGTGGGACTAAAACTGTCTCCTGGTGATTGGTCCAAAGTCACCCAGCCACTCATGCCTAAGGTGGGACTAAAACTGTCTCCTGGTGATTGGCCCAAAGTCACCCAGCCACTCATGCCTAAGGTGGGACTAAAACTGTCTCCTGGTGATTGGTCCAAAGTCACCCAGCCACTCGTGCCTAAGGTGGGACTAGGACTTACTGTTTCCTGGTGATTGGTTCAAAGTCACCCAGCCACTCATGCCTAAGGTGGGACTAAAACTGTCTCCTGGTGATTGGTCCAAAGTCACCCAGCCACTCATGCCTAAGGTGGGACTAAAACTGTCTCCTGGTGATTCGTCCAAAGTCACCCAGCCACTTGTGCCTAAGGTGGGACTAAAACTGTCTCCTGGTGATTGGCCCAAAGTCACCCAGCCACTCATGCCTAAGGTGGGACTAAAACTGTCTCCTGGTGATTGGTCCAAAGTCACCCAGCCACTCGTGCCTAAGGTGGGACTAGGACTTACTGTCTCCTGGTGATTGGTCCAAAGTCACCCAGCCACTTGTGCCTAAGGTGGGACTAAAACTGTCTCCTGGTGATTGGTCCAAAGTCACCCAGCCACTCATGCCTAAGGTGGGACTAAAACTGTCTCCTGGTGATTGGTCCAAAGTCACCCAGCCACTTGTGCCTAAGGTGGGACTAAAACTGTCTCCTGGTGATTGGCCCAAAGTCACCCAGCCACTCATGCCTAAGGTGGGACTAAAACTGTCTCCTGGTGATTGGTCCAAAGTCACCCAGCCACTTGTGCCTAAGGTGGGACTAAAACTGTCTCCTGGTGATTGGTTCAAAGTCACCCAGCCACTCATGCCTAAGGTGGGACTAAAACTGTCTCCTGGTGATTGGTCCAAAGTCACCCAGCCACTCATGCCTAAGGTGGGACTAAAACTGTCTCCTGGTGATTGGTCCAAAGTCACCCAGCCACTCATGCCTAAAGTGGGACTAAAACTGTCTCCTGGTGATTGGTCCAAAGTCACCCAGCCACTCGTGCCTAAGGTGGGACTAGGACTTACTGTCTCCTGGTGATTGGTCCAAAGTCACCCAGCCACTTGTGCCTAAGGTGGGACTAAAACTGTCTCCTGGTGATTGGTCCAAAGTCACCCAGCCACTCATGCCTAAGGTGGGACTAAAACTGTCTCCTGGTGATTGGCCCAAAGTCACCCAGCCACTCATGCCTAAGGTGGGACTAAAACTGTCTCCTGGTGATTGGTCCAAAGTCACCCAGCCACTCGTGCCTAAGGTGGGACTAGGACTTACTGTTTCCTGGTGATTGGTTCAAAGTCACCCAGCCACTCATGCCTAAGGTGGGACTAAAACTGTCTCCTGGTGATTGGTCCAAAGTCACCCAGCCACTCATGCCTAAGGTGGGACTAAAACTGTCTCCTGGTGATTGGTCCAAAGTCACCCAGCCACTTGTGCCTAAGGTGGGACTAAAACTGTCTCCTGGTGATTGGCCCAAAGTCACCCAGCCACTCATGCCTAAGGTGGGACTAAAACTGTCTCCTGGTGATTGGTCCAAAGTCACCCAGCCACTCGTGCCTAAGGTGGGACTAGGACTTACTGTCTCCTGGTGATTGGTCCAAAGTCACCCAGCCACTTGTGCCTAAGGTGGGACTAAAACTGTCTCCTGGTGATTGGCCCAAAGTCACCCAGCCACTCATGCCTAAGGTGGGACTAAAACTGTCTCCTGGTGATTGGTCCAAAGTCACCCAGCCACTCGTGCCTAAGGTGGGACTAGGACTTACTGTCTCCTGGTGATTGGTCCAAAGTCACCCAGCCACTTGTGCCTAAGGTGGGACTAAAACTGTCTCCTGGTGATTGGTCCAAAGTCACCCAGCCACTCATGCCTAAGGTGGGACTAAAACTGTCTCCTGGTGATTGGTCCAAAGTCACCCAGCCACTTGTGCCTAAGGTGGGACTAAAACTGTCTCCTGGTGATTGGCCCAAAGTCACCCAGCCACTCGTGCCTAAGGTGGGACTAGGACTTACTGTCTCCTGGTGATTGGTCCAAAGTCACCCAGCCACTTGTGCCTAAGGTGGGACTAAAACTGTCTCCTGGTGATTGGTCCAAAGTCACCCAGCCACTCGTGCCTAAGGTGGGACTAGGACTTACTGTCTCCTGGTGATTGGTCCAAAGTCACCCAGCCACTTGTGCCTAAGGTGGGACTAAAACTGTCTCCTGGTGATTGGTCCAAAGTCACCCAGCCACTCATGCCTAAGGTGGGACTAAAACTGTCTCCTGGTGATTGGCCCAAAGTCACCCAGCCACTCATGCCTAAGGTGGGACTAAAACTGTCTCCTGGTGATTGGTCCAAAGTCACCCAGCCACTCGTGCCTAAGGTGGGACTAGGACTTACTGTTTCCTGGTGATTGGTTCAAAGTCACCCAGCCACTCATGCCTAAGGTGGGACTAAAACTGTCTCCTGGTGATTGGTCCAAAGTCACCCAGCCACTCATGCCTAAGGTGGGACTAAAACTGTCTCCTGGTGATTGGTCCAAAGTCACCCAGCCACTTGTGCCTAAGGTGGGACTAAAACTGTCTCCTGGTGATTGGCCCAAAGTCACCCAGCCACTCATGCCTAAGGTGGGACTAAAACTGTCTCCTGGTGATTGGTCCAAAGTCACCCAGCCACTCGTGCCTAAGGTGGGACTAGGACTTACTGTCTCCTGGTGATTGGTCCAAA